CTCCCCCATAATGGAAGCTCAAGCTGTGCACTTTCCCCAATTTTCTCATTTCCGAGACCTTCTCCTTGTCCCTGAAAGTTCTCCTTCCCAGTCTTCCTCCTGCTCTTGGGTTATTACTCTAATTAATTTAAAAGATGCCTCCAAGTTATGAAACTTCAGTTGCATTTGCCATTGGGCCACCCTTTAAAAATACTTCCCCAAGCTAACAAAAGAAAAAAAAATTAAACACAAAAAACAACCAATCAACTAACACAACTCTAACAAAATGTGATCAATATCTAAAACAGCTGCCTTACTGGGCATTCTGAACTGGCAAAAACTCATAGGCAGGCATGAAAATGGGAAAATAACTATGATTCTATGAAAACAGAGACTGTATAGGACACTTCAAATGAAACACTCAACACACAATTCAACCCCTTTTATGTAGTCAGTTGGCCTTCAGGGAAGGAAGAAAAAAATCACATAGGGTTCATAAAAAAACAGCCAACCAACAATAAACTTATATATTGCTTTGTGCAGCATGATTAGGCTAGAGATTAATGGAAGGGAAACAATAAAACATATAATCGAACTATTTAGAATTTAATAAAATATGATGATTACATTGTACTGGTTCACCAACTGGCCCTAATATCAATTTATCTCCTCGGTATCTTCTAATCTGAGTTCTTTTTTCTTTTTTCCTGAATAAAAACTTCTACTCTATTAATATTTTGCATTTTTAGCTTAAATATTCTGCAGTTAAGATTGCATTCCTGTAATTATAATTACAACTAATAGACCTTCCATTTCCCATGTCATAATTAATGTCAGGCTTTATTAGAAGTATAATCATGCAGCCTTTTCACTTATAAAGCTTCTTTTATTTTCACAACATTTACGTTCTACTGATTAAGCAATGAAGAGTTCCAGAGGCCTACTGAAAGGACAACCTTTGATCGCAGATGCTGAGTAAACCAACTTAAAACATTTTTACATTGTTTTTAAATCACATAAAATATTCTCTAATGTGAAATTTGTTCCACATCAATAAGTGAACCAAGAAATCAATGATTCAGTGATAAATACATTCGATTTCCGATAAGGGTCATGTAATGTGCTCTCAGCAATGATGAAATCTGAAGATCATACTTATTGACCACAATATATGACGTATACAGATGTGTCAACTTAGTTGCAGCAATTTAGTGGCCAGCAAAATACATTGATATCCACTGATTAATTTTTCATAGGCCCTGGTTACACTGTTGCTACAGTTCTTTTAGACTACATCCAGAAAATACAACTTTGCTAGTCAACTATTAAATCAAAACGGAACTGTGTCCTGCTGGCAATATTGAAATAAATCAAAGGTATTGTACAGCTTTAGCAATTTGAAATGCATTTTAAAGGGTAGAAAGTAACATAAATTAACTGCTACTCAAATATTAAACATGTATTTTGCATGTCATTTACCAGGTCTATGTAACACTTACAAGAGATGAGCTTATATATCTTTAAAATAGGATACTGGACTGTTATGGACTGTATGATTGTGTCCTCCAAAATTCAATGTGGAAGCCACACTACCTAATGTGACTGTATTTTGAGGTGTAGCCTGTGCAAGTAATTAGGGTTAGATTAGCTCATGAGGGTGGGGCACCCATGGTGGGATTAGTGTCCTTTCAAGAAGAGAAAGAGAGACCAGAACTCACTCACGACCTCTCTCCTCCATGTGAGGACACAATGAGAAAGTGTCCATCTGCAAGCCAGGAAGAGAGGCTTCACCAGTAACTGAATCTGCTAGCGCCTTGACCTTGGACTTACTGGTCTGCTGAGCTGCTGGAAATAGATGTCTGTTTTTTAAGCTTCCCAGTCCATGGTCTCCATCAATGGTATTTTAGTGCAACAGCCTGAACTAAGACATGGACTGCGCTTTTTAGGCTTAAGTGACTGACTCTGTGATTTTGAGGGTCAGAGAGTTTCTGACTCTGAAGTTCATATCACTTATGGCCCATAAATAATGCAATTAAATTTCATAGCACCAGCTCCCATTTTTGCCCTCACTGGATTATTTCAATTGCTTCCTTGCTTGGTTCACATGTTCTCAAGAAACGTCACACATCCTCAACACCATGGTACATATAATTTCTTATGTGGTATAAATGAGAAGATTTTATATGTAATCTCCACAAAATCAAGAAAATGGTTTCAATATTCATCTTGCTGGGATTATATGTATAAAACCATTTCTACAACACCCAAAGAAACTCTTTAAATGCTATGCTCTTTGACTGCTTTTGAACCAATTATCTGAGCTATTTTATGATTTCCATATAAAGATTCTTAGAATTATGGAGAACTAAAAAAACTATGCAACAAATTAAAATGTCATTTGGAGAATAAGGATAACATCAGTTAACAGGATTGGAAACTGATAAAGAAAAATAAATCCTCCCTACAGTAAAGTCCATTGTGTTGCAGGGTTCTTAGCTATGGATGTAAATCATGGACGATTATAAAAGGTTCTAAACTGAACCCATTACAGAACATTTTCAGATAGCCTCCAAATTATAGGGCCTGGGGCAATTCAAATAAAGGGCCTCAACCCTATGTTTAATTTTTTAAAATTATAAACTAACTGATAAATAAGCACCCTATGTTCACTGCAGCATTATTTACAATCACCAAGATACGGAAGCAGCCCAAATGTCCATGAGTAGATGAATAGATAAAACAACTATGGGACATTTACACAATGGAATACTACTTGGCTATAAAAAAAGAGTTAGTTTTATCCTTTACAACAGTATGGATGGAACTGGAGAACCTTATGCTCAGTGAAATAAGAGAGTCAGAGAAAGACAAATACCATGTGATATCACTCATATGTGGAATTTAACGAACACACTGAACTAACAAGCAAAATAAAGACAGACTCATAAACAGCAAGATGAAAGCTAAGGGTGAGGAAGGAAGAAAGGGGGTAGAGGGATTGAGCAAAAAAGAAAAAGGACTCATGGGCATGGACAACAATGACGTAATTGCAGGGGATAGGATATAAGGGGACTAAACGGTAATGAAAAAATACAATAAAAATTATTAAATAAAAAATGGGGACATAAATAAATATATTCTCTCCTACCATTAAAATATATATACACACATACTACCATAACAACCTGAAGAAACAGGTCAAATCTAGAACTTGAGAAATTTCTAAGATTAGCCCTGGAATAGGATGGTGTGGAGCCAGCCTCTAAGACCTCAAATCCCAGCTCACCCCACTTCTTGCCTCTCTTCCTACCCCTCAAGCCCACATTGTGCATCAAACACCATGGGACCTCCCATGTAAGCATACATGTGAGCTGCACACAAGCTCCATCCTCATCCTCCTACAAACATGCTGCAGGGAAAACGAAGTCAGTCAGGCTCCCTCACCCAGAATTCCAGGCGACTGACGCTTGGCAGTGTTCGTGTGGCTTTGAGAAGGGGCCCGCATGTGTAGAATGAACCTCTGTCATATAACCTGAAGGTCAGTATTGCCACCCTGCCGGCTTTGTGTGCACTTAGTATATAGGGGCGTCGGGACTTCCTCACAGTGACAGGTGGGGCAACACAAGGGGTGCGTGGACCGCCCCACCCCAGAATAAAGGCATGTCAGACAACCCAACAGCTCCATGAATTTTCTTCCATCTGCCCGAATCCCTTGTGAATCTGTCTGGCCTTGAAAGGCTGCAAGACAGATACCCCTTGGTTACCTCCTTAGTCCTAGGGATACACACACAGGAGCACTGTGCTCTGCCTTAAGAAAACTGGACTTGGGAGGGCCGGATGGGCAGAGAATTCATGGGTCTCAGGTAGATAATGCACCACCCAGAGGTGGAGGCATGGCCTCTGAATGGGCAGCTCTTCTTTTAAATTTCTTGCCCAGTGAGGAAGTATGGCCAGAGGCAGAGGGAGCTCTCAGCATAGGGTTCCCTCTTGCCACATTTTAAGGGCGCTTTATAACAAAGCAAGTAATTTTATGCAAGTTGGAAACTCAAGACCCAGAGACAAGTTTCTTTCCTCAAGTAGAACTGATAGGAAAACTCAGTAGTTATTCCTAGAGAAGCAATAGTCCCTTCATAAGGAACATCCACAACTTTGCATCCAAACAAAAGGCAATTACATCGTTTTAAAACATTTCCAGTCTACAACCATCTATTGACCTCTGACCTCGGGTACCATGTTAATAATATTTTACAAGTACATGATGCCCATCTTATAAGCATTAGCTTTGATTTTATTCTTAAAAATTTTTTCCTGATGTCTGAAAAGCAGATGGCCTCATTTTGAGATTATAACAGGAGAAACTAAGCACAAATGAGTTAAATAATTCCTCTAAGGTCTGAAGGTCAAATTTGGTGGTAACATCTGCAAAAGATTTAAATGCTCCTTACTTTTAGGAAAATCCCCTCTCTATCTTTGTTACACTACTCCGTGAGGCCTTTCTGCTTCAGTGACACAAGCTAAACTCTATGATTAAACCATAAATCTGTAGTTTTGTATTCCACTCCTAGTGAGTAAGAATCTTTTATTCTGGACTCTTGGGATCTTGCCACCGACAATGAAAAAACAAACAAATAGTTATAAGCAGTAAGTGACCCAGGACAGAGGAACATTACTTTCTGCAAACACTTATTAAATAGTGCTGTAGTAGAAAATGGAAAAAAAAATAGCCCAGAATTCAGAAAAGAATGACAAGGTTACTTACTCTTTTAGGCTCAGAGTGTGTCTAATTTTACAGAGTGCACCCTTCTTTGGACTAGTTCCATATCTAGACACTATTTTAACCATCAGCTCATGACAAAATTCCCCACCCTTCACATACACAGAAAGATTCAAAGAAGGGATAACATCAGAAAGATTCCACCAACACAAAAAATGTCAGGAGCTGCCGAGTTTGATGCCACCGCTAATCAAAGTGACAAGCCAGTGAAAAGAAGTCTTAAATATAACTTAAAACATGGGCCTACCTGAATCATATGCAAAGTCTCTGGGTTCTTGTTTAATCATCAGAGGAGGGGGGAAGCTTTGACTGGGCGCACCACCAACCATGGTGCTGTGTTCATACACTGGGTCATGGTACTCCTGCTTAAAGCCTTGAGGTGGGAAGGGGATGTTGGGCTCAGACATCTGCCGTTGGTACATGGGACGTCCTTCCCTCGGCATTGTCGGCAAAGGAGGAAAGGAGTTACAGGGTTCAGAAAGCTGGCGGCGAAATCTGGGAAATAAGAGAACATGTTTCATATAAAACAATACTCTTTGAAATACTGGTACAATTTTTTAACTGTTTAATCAACATGACAACCCAAATGACTCAAAGTGTGAATCTGTAACAACAGCTAGATTTCTCCTTCCTGGGTCAGTAGCCCTGTGCTTTTTAAACATAATGTGGTGGGTAATCCCCTTCTAATTAGTCCCTTGCAGCATCATTTTGATACAATACAATAAGATACAGGTGTGCTTTGAGACGGGCTAGGAGAATGATACACTATTTTGAGGAAATGTTACAGTAAAAGTACCCAATTCAAAATCAGTTGGATCATTTTCCAAGTTAGTAAGAGGGTCTCGAATAATTATATACTAGGCAAAAATGAAAGAATCTGAGTTTAGCTTATATTCTCTGTCTTTTAATTCTGCACCAAACTAATCCACAGCAAACAAACAAACAAAAAACCCCCCTACCTACTAAGTTACTGAGGAAGCAAGAGAAGAACAGGCAGGGCTCCCAAATCTCCAACAACATTCTGAATAGCATTCTATTCCAGTGTTAAATAAAATTAGGAAATGTAGAGACTCATCCAAGCTGGTTTTTAAAAGACCATCTCTTTACTGTCCACCAGAAATGTACAACAGAATGGTTTCCAATAGATTCATACAAAATCTCAGGTTGATAAAAATAAGCATAAAAGATACAGCAGAGTTCCAAAGATGGAAATAACACGGTGTCTTGCATATTTAGGACAGGTTGTGCTGTTAGGTCTTGAGGAAGTCTGAGGAAGTTCTTAGCAGAAGGTTGAGAGCGAGTCTCTGCTCCTTTCTCCTTAGTTATGCCCCGGAACGACTGGCTAATCACGTAATCGCTCAGTTCTGCGTTTCTCATCCATAATATCATTGACCCACCACAAAGATGTGGATTAATTAAAGATTTAAAAGTGCTCTAAAAATGCCCAGGAGTGCTTAAAAATAACCTATTCAACATTACTATGAGCAAATAGAAGCCTATTAACTCCCTTCTTCCCCAACCCCCTCGCCCCACTAAAAGCATTCCAGAGACCTTAATTTGGAAAGTTAACATTTAATTTTGGTAACATTAAATGAAAATAAGGTAAAAGCTAAAGAACTGTAAAGTAGCTGCCTTAGCATTTTCTGAGAGCACTCCACCCAGTGATTTAACTCCAGCCTCCCTGGCTGCCCTGGAAACTACTGGAATTCCACCTACACCTGCAGACAATAAACTGAAGAAACTCCAATACTGCGAAAACAGCTAGGCTGACTGGCACTGCATTCACTTCCCTTCCCTTGCATATTTCATTAGCCAAAAAAAGAAACAGAAATTATCATTAAGAACTGTCAAGGAGTGAATCAGAAAATTGTAACTTGAAGTTAAAATAAGAAACCAGCTCACTCGTGAAGCCTTAAAAGGAGGTTAATAGTACTTGCATTAAAATCTTGGTTAAGGAATCAAGCCATTTGTTTTTAGGAATCAACCTGACTTCAGTTGGTCCTTTCTGAGGACCACGATATATATTAAACACACACGCTTCACAGGAAACTACAAGTTTTTGGTGCCATCCTTATGAGCCGCTGACCTGCTGTAAAGAGAAAGTGACTCAAGAAGCTCCTGGAGAGCGTTAACAGGGAAGGATGCTGATGGACTCTCGGATAAGGAAAAAAACGGCCTAGGAGGGGTGGAAAACGTTGAGAAAAAGAGACTGGGCTCCTTCACCGCGGGTGCAGAAGCAAGTGCCAGAGGGCTGGCCCTCGGAGCAGAATGAGCCTCAGGAAAGGAAGGCAGGGTGCAGCCCAGCTGGCCCCACGGCCTTCCCAGAGTGAGGTGGGGTGCCCAGGCTGGAGGGGGCTGGAGGGGAAAGGATCTGTTCCCAGAGCAAATTTGCCATTTATAACTGAGGGACTGTCATTTGTTGGCTAGAGCCCTTCAAGAAATCCTCCTCAGAAACATAAGGCCTCAGAGATTTTCCTGGGAATGGCCAGCTGGTACTGTCCTCAAAACACAATGGGGGGGCAATGGGAAAAGACCCTGAGCTTCCCTCTTACAGTTCCGGACCGGCTGTTCTCAGTCTCAGGTATTTGACTTCAAGTAGAGAAACTAAAATGGATTTGGCCACAGCATTTCAAGTTAGGTCACCTAAAAACAGGCACACTGCTTGTTCCCCAGTCACCTTCCAGAAGAAATAACGATTCTGCACAAAGAGCCAACTATACAATCTAGAATTCTGGCACTCATTGGAGAGCAAGAGACTCGGGTATCAAGAACTCTGGGAAATCACCAGAAGTGGGCAAAATAAAACTTGCTTCTTCTTTTCACTCCTTCCCCCCTTTCAGCCCTGCACAATGTGAATGTGTTTAAATGGCCCACCCTGCAATGAGATTTCTTTCATCTGTGTTTATGAAACTGTTTACACAGATGCGCATACCACTGCATGCTGACAAGGTCTCAAGTCTATCGGTGAGGAGGGAAAGAGGACTTAGTGATGGAAACAAAGGTAGAAACGATACAGCCTAGGTTCCACACTGGAAAGAATGCCTTCATCTTATCCCTTCACGCCAAAACAGTTTTACCAAATTTGAGATTACTGAAGTTGCATTAAATAACCTACAAAAAGTAGGTTATCCCCTTATTTTCAGCAAGTTGCCAGTGGCCCCTCTTCTGGTTCCCTCTGCTGCTCTAGATGATGCCTTTGGCTGAGCTGTTTTTGTAACGGTTTGTCAGAGCCAGTTTGTCCTGGCTTTTGTTTAAATTTTCAGAAATTCTGTGAGTCCATTGTGAAAGACAGCCATTAAGAAGTAAATTATGTAAAGTTATCATTTTAAACAGTTATATTAAGAACAAAGGCTATTACTACTCAAAACTCACAGCTTTCTCACTATTATACTATACCTGACTATTAATTATGCTCTTGAGGTTATGACTATAGTATCTATATGATAGAAAATACTATAGAATTTAGTGTGACTGCACATCTCTTTCCAATTCCATGTTCAAGGTTGCCACGATGATAGCTTGAAATCACAGCCTTGGGGGGGGGGGATATTAATATCTCAGATTCATCAGAGGTATACAGACTGGGTCTTCTGGATTTTCTCCCATAGAGCCTGTTGTTTGACATTTACCAGCCTACCACTGGCTCTATACAAGTACAAGGTAGAAGGGGAAAGAAGAAGGCCATATATAATCAACCTGTGTGTTAAGTCATATAATTAAGACCTCTAAAAGTATCCCAATATTTTATTTAAAAGTAAGTTACTCATCTCTAGGAATCAAGAATTAGTCACCACAGCATCCCTCCTAGCTCCATGCTCCAGTTCTTGCCTTGTTTCTTTCTACGTAATAATAATTTGGTTTCTATCTCTTTTAACTTTATATTCTCATGTCCAGGGTCATGCATCTAGTGACATTAAATATTCATCACATGGAAAGGATGGAAAATGGTTTTAATCAAATATGTTCTATTCTGCAAAACTGTGTACAGCTATGCCATTCACTCTAAGGTGAAAAACCTAATTCCATAAGCCACCTACTAAAATTAGTCTTCTAACTTCATAGAACAAGTACACACATATGCTCATAAAAACGGGATGATCTGATTCAAAGTGTAAGTGAAGCAATTTAATTCAGGCAAAGTGAAAGAAAAATGTTCAAATGTCAGTATATAGATTAATTTCCCACTTCAGCAACAAATTTAAATGTTTATAAAATCACCATTTAGAAATGACCTTCTCCACAATTTGTAACTACAGATAGAGCAAGCTCTTTCTAAAAATATTTTGCCTGGATGTGCAAAATTAATATGGTCACTTTAAATGTACTATAGGTCTTAGGAGTTGGCAATAGAATTTCTTCCAAGAATAACAAAAACTTTTTATTTACAAAAACCAGTTTGCAGTATACCTGTGGTCCATGGGGTATCTGCTGTCTTGCATGGGCTGTGATGGAGGGAGGTGAGCTGGGAAGGCGTGGTCAGGTTTCGGAGTGTGAGTTGAGTTTGGAGATGCATGATGTAGCGGGGACACAGGAGTGCTGGAAGGGGTAGGGGGGTTGGAGGGCCTCATTCCCACTTGTGGCTTCTGATCATAGGCACTACCCAAGGAACAAAAAAGAGAGAGAGAGAATATTTATTTCTTTGTAGGAATTAAAAAAAAATATTCCAACCTAAGGAAACAAAAGAAAAATTTAGGCTTAAGTCATAAGGAAGTTAGAATTTTATGTCTTTGGTGTTTGAATTCTAGAACATGTAATCTTCAAAAACTCCACACACTTAAAGAGAAATGGGATAAAATTAATAAGTTGGTAACAGCATAAATACAAAACATATATTTTAAATACATATACAAACAACTTAATATAAGAAAAGCACTGCCTATGAAAGCGGTGGCGTCACTTCCATCTATCCTTGATATGTCTCCTTGAGCAAGTTTCAGAGATCTTTTCTACATCATTGAATTTTCTCATATTATAATTCACATTACATTAGATTTTAGAACAAGAACCATCAGTATAAGATGAAGACCATACCTGGCTTGACTTTATTAGTGGTGGAATTTTAAGAAGGCAATGCTTTTGTTCTATTTTCATTTTGTATGTATAATAAATGGTGCTTGGCATTAACTTCTTCACATAGGATAATAAAGATTAATGAGGCAAATTAAAATCTCTCTGATATATTTGAACTTTCTTGGAGCATAAGTACAAAATAATTTTCTTAAGAACAAAATCCTATCGTCATAGACTAACTTGTACTAACTTGTAAACACTCACAGAGGAATGAATGAGCGAGCTTCCTCATGAATCCCAGCTGACTCCCTGTGTACATTTAGAGAATGTGCTTTAACTAAATTTTGTGATCTAAAACATATTTTACAAAAACCAAATTTTACTTAAATTCACAGATAAAAATGACATTTCTAGGTTAAAATATTGTATTTCTTTTTTTATTTTTTATGTCTTTTTAAAATTTTTTAATTTTTTTTTAGAGAGGGAAGGGAGGGAGAAAGAGAGAGAGAGAGAAATATCAATGTGTGGTTGCTGGGGTCATGGCCTGCAACCCAGGCATGTACCCTGTCTGGGAATCCAACCTGCGACACTTTGGTTCGCAGCCCACGCTCAATCCACTGAGCTACGCCAGCCAGGGCTAAAATATTGTATTTCTTTATAAAATAAAAAGAGTTCATCAATACCTATGTTTTTCCTTTAAAAAAGAAACATTTCTTTTTGCATTGACTTATGTAATAATTTATTCTGTTGCTCCATCTATATTACATCCAATGTAAAAATACAGAAGTGAAGGAGTATATGCTGTGTAAGTCTACTCTTGCCTTAAAGTATAGTTAATGGCGATCATTATGTTTGGTTCTACTTCTTTTCTTTACCAATATTTCTAAATGAGAATATACTTTTATAAAATGATTCGTCTAATTTATTCTCATGTAAAAAGAAAAAAAAATATATCCTCTGCCCTAGGATAATACCTTTTTCCTCATGAAATGTTGTCTTTATAGTTTGTATAGAGAAGGAGGCTCCAGAATTTTATCCATATATCACTGTGGGAATTATTCATCCCCAGAAAAACATCTCAAAATATTTAGGCAATTCCTTTACTGTAAATGTATGGACATTAGTTATGTAATATAAAGCAGTGGCTATTTTAAAGCCACACTGCTGGTCAATGCTGAGATCCAGTGACAGTTCTGTATCTATTTGGTTCATTAATTAAACTTTCTTCAATGTTAAATACTTATTCTGTGAACACATAATACTCTTAAGCAGGAAATTAAAAAACTAAAAACATTATAAAATGAAACTTGGATCAATATTTTTTTTATCTAAACCAAGTATGCTTTAATAGCTTTGACAAGAGATCTTGTAGTTTTAATTGAACGGACCCATAATTTCAAGGCTCTGATGACCTCCCAGAAAAGTAAATATAAAAAGACAAGTTTGAGTTTGCAAGAAAACATAGTAATAGAACATGTAAGCATTGGTCAGCTGATGAGAGACTGCACAGCTCTAAGTTTCTTGAGTCTTATACTCTGTATTAAGTAGTAAAGATATGAGAAAATATAAAATCCATTTGGATCACAATGTATTATGAACTTGAATCAACATAACTTATAAAACTGCAAATATCTATAATCACTTTTCAAGCTTCCAAACTAACTCCTTTTAAGAACTAAGTTTCTACTGTAATTGAGAGTAATAGTATTCAATATACAGAGCCAACTTCTTCCTTATACAATTAGAGTCCAACATGAAAAGTAGCAGAAGGCAATTTGCTAAGAAGGGTTTTTAATGAACATATGTGTTATCAAATTTTCTAACAAATGAACAATGTACTTTTATTGCTCCACCCTTTATTATCATCAGAAGGAACAACTGGCTTTTTAATAGATAATAGCCTCTGCTAAGCCTTATAAAATTCTAACTTTATTGCGATTGTCCATGAACGCATCTTATAGATCATCTACAAAGCCTGTCAGATAACTAATGTACTGCTGAGACATGCCAAATGTTTCATTTTTTCCCTACAAACTCTATCTAAAGTGCATAATGCATTCATTCTAATGAGAACTTTCAACAGCTGCTCAGGCCAAGTACGACCCACTTTTCAAGTCCAGATGCTTCACTCAGTAGAAAGGCAACCAATAGTGTGGATGAAAATTATTGCTTTAAAATCATTCAGAAAGTGTATGACTGAATGAATGGTAAACGGGTTTCTGGAGTTCTTCTAAACACATTACCTAATTAGCTTGCTATATGGTGACGATATAAAACTCTTATAAAGTTTGTCCTGAGACTTTAAGTTAGATTCTGAACTTTTTGTTTCAGTAAGCATGATCCTCTCTACACATACACCTGGTTACTTTACCTGACATTGTACAGGCACTTTTCTCCATAGCTGAATTTAAAGGGCTGCTCTTGACTGCAGGCAGAGCCGAGTTCTGAACATGGGCTGTGGGGTTCTTTCTTGATTTTCAGTGGTAGGCCATGAAAAGCCACTAGAAAATAAAAAAAAAATACCCCCAAAATGAAATGCAGTTAAAATTAAGTATATTATTTGCTGCTTTACTTCTCTTGTTTAAAATGTCACTAACATTCATATTAACCTAAGTACATAAGAAAAGTCACATTTGATGACTAGCATGAAAGGAAAGACTCTGAGTATCTCTGTATCTTCCTTTTCTGTTTATGATCTAACAAAATACATGCTTGAACCCTCATTACTTGAAGTGAATCACTTGTAGTTTGCTTAGCTGGTATTAATAATAGAAGCTCAGTTCTCAGAAAAGTATGTTTTGAAAACATTTCAGAAAGATTTTCAATGATTAAAACAGAAAAAAATACAACAGAATTAACTGAAAACTAGAACATCAAAAATTCCAAAAAAATAGCTGAAGGCTGAAACATAATTCTAAGTATTACTGGGAGAAAAACATCTCAAATCCATCAATAGTAATAGAATGACAACTAGATTATAAGAAAAAAATCTAGGTGCAGGTGCACTGGAAACTGATGACAATTTGGAGAAAAATTGCAACATCTAAGAAGGCAATGCTCATCTATAAAACGGAGAAAAAAGCACCTGCCTATCTACTTACCACAACTGTGAGGATGAAATATGAAAAATGTGTCAGTTATTTGTCACATGTAACATACCATAAAACAATTATTCTCAATCATGTTTTCTCTTTTCATATGACTTAATATATGGTTATACTTATAATCATTAATTCTTAATAATATGATATAAAATATGAAGGCTAAAAGACAAGCATATTTGAAGGGAATCATAACTTTAAAAACAAATAAATAACACTATGTACTTTTTTATTATATAAGAAATTGAAAAAAAAATCTGTTAAGCAATCCTGTAAGAATAGTTGAAGTTTTAGTTTAAATGAAAAATTGGTAATAATAGGTAATACGGAATTGGTAAAAATTGGTAATACGGAAATAATAGACATGAAAATGGATTTTATCTTCCAGTACAATATACACACGTATGAATAACCAGGGTAAACAAAAGGAGAGCACACATTCTGAAGGTTTTAACCATGATAAACACTGGAGTTAAACCACAAAAGATTGAGTCTGTGTTCCATAAAGATATGACAGGAGAAAAATCCTTGTTGTTTTAGATACCATTCAATCTTAATTATGACATCATGGCAGTATAAACTTATACTAGTTTGAATGTCAAACATAATTTCAATATAAGCATTTGAGACCAAGAACTACCAAGCTATAGAAAAATAAATAATATTTGTTTCTACATGTATATCATTTTGACAAAATTGTTCATGTTACTCAGGACCCTTCTGAAACATCACAGAAAATAAATGTGCCAAAGAAACAAATTTCACCTAAATTAGTTGACGAAGGAAAATATAATAAACGATAATAAAATAATCTCACTGGGTGGTCTATTTCAAAGTGTTTTCTTGATGTAGCACGTGTTTGCTGCGCATACTGAAAGCAGAGACTAGAAACAAAGGAGAAATTATATGCTACTTCCTATGGCAAGGGTGCTCACGCTCATCAGCTTTACCAAGTCAGAAAGTTATAATTTATTAACCACTCAGGTGAAAGAGTTTTAAGAACCTCAAATACCAATTATAATATAAAGAAGGACTTGCTAGGATTTCGATTTGAACAATCAACTAGAAAAACACATCTTTGCAACAGATAAATGTGAATGTGGATGGGGTGGTAGATATTAAGAAATTAATGTTAATTTTGTTGGATGTGGTAATGCAATGGCAGTTGTACCAAAGAAAAGGCTTAAAGTTACAGATTCACAAAATATTTACAGAAAATAACAAGATGTCTAGGATTTTCCTAAAAAATTGTCCAGGGGAAAAATGATGGAAAAATAAAATGATGTATGGGGGATGGATTGATTTAGAATGGGTAGTGGGACTGTGTTATATTATTCTCTTTACTTTTATCTAAGTCCCACATATGCATGATGAAAAGTCTTTAAAATTAGCAGGAAAAAAAAGAATTTAAAGTAGTATGCATAAGAAAATTCCCTCCCTGTAGTATGTGTGCGCACATGCACACTACTTGTCAGACTGACAAATATTGCATAGGCAACAATTAACTATACATTTGTTGCTTTCTTAATGTGTTTCAACTATCTTTATTACAATATTTCAAAAGTCTTTGGGATCATGAAGTAGAATAAGATTAGTGAACAGAACACAAAAAGCACCAACCATAAAGAAAATAATCTACCAATTAGGCTTTACTGAAGTTAGGAACTTCTCTTCATCAGAAGACACTATTAAAGGACTACAAAGTAAGCCACAGACAGCAATATGTTTGCAACAGAAAAATCTGGTAAGAACTCACATTCAACATAGCAAGAAATGCTACAAATAAGACAATCCAAAGTAACCAATTAGTAACCAATCCAATAAGTAACCAAATTAAAAATGGACAAAAGACCTAAACAGGAGGTTCATAAAAGACACCCAAAGAGCAAAACAAAGAAATAAACAACAACAAAACATGTATGAAAAGTATTCAACATCTTTACTCATCAGGAAAATGCAAGTAACACCACATGAGATTATCACTATGTTAGAATGACTGAACTGGAAAAGATTGACATCAAGATTGAAGACAGAAAGCAACAGAAACTTTTATAAATGCTACTGAGGTTATAAATTGATACACTTTGAAAAATCTTTTGGCAGTAGCTACTATAAAGCTCAACATAAATCACACTTGTGCCTAGTAATTACACTCAGGTATATGCCCAATGGAAAGGACTGCATGTATTCAACAAAAGGCAAGTGTACAAATGTTCAAAGCAGCTTTATTATAATAGCAAAAAACTGCAAAGCCCCAAATGTTCATTAGCAGGTAATGGATGAAGAAATTGTGGCACATTCATACAATGAAACACTATACAGTAATAACAAGGAAGAGATTCCTGTTACATGCAGAAGCATAGATTGTCTCACAGTTGTGGTAGAAAAGAAGCCAAGCACAAAAGAATATGTAGTATATGAATTTCAAGATCAGACCAAACTGAGAGTGAGAGAATGCCCTATGGATGGTGGATAGGCAAGTTAATGACTAAGAAAGGACACCAGTAACCTACTACTGTACCAGGAATATTTCATATCTTGCTCTGCATGGTGGTTATTTGAATATATGCACCAAGCTGTACACCTGGGAATTTTGCATTATAATAAATGCATATCTCAACAAAAAGCTTTTAAAACTGTGAGAGGTATCAACCAACCAATGCTATGTGGTACCAATTAAGGTATTTTAACATGTCTGACTTCCTGTCTCAGCAGACATCTAAGATTGTGCTCCAATTTCATAGGATAAATAATTCCAGATGAATGAGGGGAGGAAGGACAAATGTGGGGCACCATCAGGAATGGTTGCTGGTATGACAGTTAACCTCCTATCAAAATGTCCACTGGTATCACTCTAGAAGCGAAAGGCGTGATCCATCCTAGTGGCTACACTGCCTGTCGAGAGCTCTAGAGCTCTCAGATGCTCTTCATGCACTTCCTGAATTGACTTTGGGAGAAAGGACATAAGGATTCCCAAACTGCTATCCTCTGATAGCAGCAAGTTGATCCCTAAACTCAGGATCCCCAAATCTGGCCAAACATCTAAATTCCCAGGCAATTTTTGAATAAACAAAGATTTCCAGAACTCATGTTATAGGTTGACCTGTGTCCCCTCCAAAATGCTTTCATTGGGAAGATTGATTAAGATGAGGTCAAAAGGATGGGATCTAATCCAATGTGTTGACTATTGTCCTTATAAAAAGGAGGAATTAGGATACAGAGACACTCACAGGAGAACGCCATGTGAAGATAAAGGCAGAGGTCAGAACAATGCTTCTACAAGCCAAGAAATGCCAAAAGATTGCCAGCAAACCACCAGAAACTGTGAGTTAAGTATAGGCTATATTCTCTCTCCCAGGGCTCAGAACCCTAGTCGCACCCTCACCTTAGACTTCCAGCCTCCAGTTCTGAGACAATGAATGTCTGTTTTTTAAGCCATTCACTTTGTGGTGCTGTATTATGGCAGCCCTAGCAAACTAATATACCACTCCCTAAAACTGATTCACTAAGGTTGGGGTGTATATCAAGATTCTATATCTTAGAAAACTTCATAACTTGATTATGATTATCATAACTGGGTTAATTTTAAATGTTATGATACTTAGCACCACCTGGATCCAGTGTGAGCTGCATTGAAATGGGTCCAGTACTTGAAAGACTTAAAAACAAAACTAACAACGTCTTCCTTTTTGTTAGATGCCAACACTCAAGAATTCTCACAGGTTTTCTACTTCCTGAAGTTGAGGGCTCCCCTACCCTCTATAACACATTCAACGTGTGTGGGCCTCTTAATCATTATGGGCCCTTGGAACTGTGAGTTTATTTTTCTAGTCATAAGCCAAATAAGTAATACAATGAATGTGAGTTGGCGAGGATTTTTTTTTAATTGTTGTGTGTGAGGAACACAAGGAAAAGCCACCCTCAGGATCTTCAACATTTTGCACAAGAACCACAAGCTACTGTAGTCTCTCCATTCTCACTTTCCTGCTTCCCAGAGATTCTTTATCACACAAGCGACTTATTTATTCTCAAATAAGGGTAGTATAGAGACTTGCACCAGAGAGGGCTGAGCAGAGAATGTGTTGGGTATTTCATCACGGGGCTGAGAGTCGGAGCGTCTGCTAACAGGCAGTTTTCCAGCTCACTGGCACCAGCACAAGGGAAAGCAGCACATTCATTTTGTGCAATTTGCTTTACCTTCCCACATGGAGTTGGTGCATGTAAAAGGCTGTTAAGTACTAAATTATTCCTTATCAAATCACCATCATCTGGAGTCATGATCAACACTAATTAAATTACTTTCGCTGAACACGGCTCCAGCCTGCTGCCGAGGCTGCTAGACATTTCATTTCGCCTACTGTACGGTCCTTGCTGGGCCCGGAACAGATAGCTACCGGCAT